GCTGCTCGGGGAAGTCGGCGTCCGGGGAAGAGCGCCTGGCGCCGCCTCCCTCCCCGAGCCCGGCTCCCCGCTCCCGCTTGGCGAGCCCGCGCAGCGTACCCCAAGTTCCCGGGCGCCCAGGGAGAGGCGCGGACGGCAGGTAAGGGAACGGCGCTTGGGCTCTGGGTGGAGGAGGAGACCTCTCCTTACCCCAGCTGCTTGGCGGACCCAGAAGAGGCCTTTGAGTGAAGACTTTGGGGATAAGCCCAAAACCTTCTCCCCACCTTTACAGACACTGGTACGCTCAGAGAAGCCCCTGCAAGCAGATCCTGAAAGGGGGCTTCTGCTGGGAGGCTCGGGGTCTGCCGGCATGGCGATTCCACACTGGGGGAGTCTCACCTCTGGTCACTCACTCGGCCCTGCTGGTTTATTGTGTGTCCAGCCAAGGACTCAGCCACCTGCTGGGACGCAGCGGGCAGGGTCTCGGACTGTGTCTTTCGAACTTGCCAGGAGGCATCGACTTAAAACTGTGGTGGGCAGAGGCGGAGAAGAGCAGTGGGTATTTCACTGCTTGTCCATCGCGACTTTAATGGCGCCCCAGCCCCAGAGGGCCTCCTTGGGGGCGCCATGCTGTGGGTTCGGTGTCTTGGGCCTGAAAAATTCAAACATGTACAATTTCCAGATTATGAACCCCTTAACATTTTTTTTTTCTTTAGCATTTTTTAGGTTTATTAGGCCATGGAGAGAACATGGTGCTTGCAGACAGGTAGGCAGGACAAAAGCTGCCTTTTAAAAAAAGTAAAAATACCCTAGACGTCTAAGTTTTGTAAATTCAGATTTAAAAATTCAAGGACTGTTTGGCTCCCAGCGTGAGTTTATTAAAAAATGTGCACTTGTTGAGAAAAGACAAGACCCAAACCAGGAGGGAAAGCCAGAGGGTGTCTCCGCAGCTGGCGAGGCCCCTGGTGTTCGCCCACCAGGGTGCAGAGCTCACCCAAGCCCTGGGCATGGGGGCGATGGCCCGTGCTCTTCTCAGAGGTCCAGCTCAGAGCCCCCTGTGATGACCTGGGGGTTCCCCAAACTAGGTCCCCCCTGCAAGTCCTGGGGAGACAGTGGAGAGCACTCCTTCCTTCCTCGTGTCTGAAAACTAGCGACGACTTTGCTTGAAGTCTGGTTTTGACCAGCCATTCGGAACTTCAAGACCTTCTTCTCTTCCGCTGAATAGTCTAGGGTGCCCAGAGTGAATTATAGTCAGACACCCAGGTTTTCACCCATGAGGAAATACTGCTGCTGGAGGGAGGGTCGTGGGGAGCCCGCACCCCTGGTTTTTCACGGGCTGCATACACGGTGCAGCGGTTGGCCTGCAAGGGATCGCGCTGAGGGTGAGCCTGTATGAATGGAAAGCACCTTGTTAAGAGAGGTCCTGCAGGCTCACGGGTCTTAGGTCACTCTCACACCTGGCCAGGTGCTGGGCGTAGGTGCTCCGCGCAGGTACTGTGTGGTGTCACTGACGAAGGGAAACTGCTTATAGTTGTGTCTTTGGAAGGATCAACAAAGCCGCTTTAAAACAGTGGTCCACAACCTTTTACAATTTAGATTTGTTCAGAAACAGTTTTAATCAGGACTGGCAGGATGCTCATGTTTAATTTCCCACATAAGGATAGTTTTTAAAAATAAAGTAGCTTCTTCCCATCATCTCCCAGGCAATTGGGGCTGTCTTGGGGACACTGCACAGGGGTGGGTAGATCATGTGCTGTGCCCCTGCTCCAGCCTCTCCTCACGCCAGCCCCCCAGCCCCCGGCAGCCCCTCCTTTAACACAGAAGGGCCACCCTCTGCCACCCACCAAGTCGCCTGCCAAGCCTCCATCTTTCATTCCATGTCCTGGTCGCTAGTCCTCTCTCTGGAACTGGAGTCCTCCCTTATGTCCATCTAGAAAACTTTGCTCTTGTCCAGGGGACTTTTGTACTGTGGTCTCCTGTGATCCTGAGAACCACTTTCTAGGTAAAGAGGATGCATCATTTCACCCCCAGTTTTGGAAGGACATTGTGCAAAGTGGCAGAATTGACAGTCACGCCGCCATCTCCCACTACAGGGGGAGGCTTTCCCGTAGCGAAGCCACCCCCGTCAAAATCAAACCTGGCCCCGACGCCCGGCTTGTAGTTCACTAAGTCAGCAACCGACTTCTCCAAGGCTGTGCCTCTTGGGTAAAAGTGGAAATGATCAGGTGTACGCACAGGGTAGTGAGTACTGCTAGAACACTAAATGCAGTCCTTTTTGACAGCCGTGTAGAAAATATGTTCCCATTAGGAAGGGCTCTTTGCTCATCCCTCCGTTGAGAAACACTGTGTTTGGGAGACTGAGATTCTCCCGGTTTGCCAGGAGGATGAACTGTCCCAGGATGTGGTGGCTGGTGCAGGCAGAGCTGGGCTGGCGTCTGTCTGGACTTGGGCTTCCCACTGCTTCTCTCTGTGCTCCCCAGAGCCCCTTGGCATGAATTTGGGTTTTGTACGACTCGAAAGATTCTCAAATATCAAAACATCAGTATCTCCTCTGGCCAAAAATGCTTTCAGCATGAGAGCTGGGTGTGGAAGGGTCTGCCCCCTGCGCCCACCAGCTCAGCCTTCTCGCCCACCCTGCAGGGAGAGAGCCCGCATCCTTCACCCCCTGGTGCCAACTTCTGGTTCAGACAGCTGCAGCTGGGCTCTGGACATTCTCCCCTGTGGTATCAAACCAGAAACATTTCCTTGACTCTCTGGGCCAAGTCACAGGGACAAGGAAGATTGTTACATTTTACCACGGAAGTCACCAAAGGCTTCCTGGCCAGTCTTACCTGGGAGTTTAAAGTCTTCCGGTTCAGGTGTTGATTGTTTTTATCAAGGGCTCAGATTTCTAGCCTGTTGCTTCAGAGGAGGCTGTCCGGGGCTAATATTTGGAACTGGAGTGGGCTTTTATGAGGTTTCACTTTTCACCCTGCACTCATTTCATCCTACAGAAGAAGGCATTGTCCTGCAAAACTGCCTGTAGCTGTTGCTGCTTGGGTCCTTTGTCAAAAGCAGCCTTGTTCTGGCCTGGTTCCTTCCTCTGCTGGGAACTGAGTCTCGGGCACTTCAGTTTGGCAGCATCTGACTGCAAACCTCCCTCACCCGCTGCCGCCCAAGCTGCCAGCGCCACATGCGGAACCTGGACTTGAAGATCACAATCAGATGAGAAGATGGGGGGGGGGAGCACCTAAGTCCATGTGCGAGAGCCCCAGAAGCCAGGAATGATGTGTGGGTTCAGCATGAGTAATGGGAACAAATGTGTGCACTGAGGTGTCTTGTAATGGAAGAGGCCCCCAGGTGCCTCCAGGAAGGGCCACCTGTTCCAGGGTGAGTTGCAGACCGCTCCCAACTGCTTTGCACAAGAAGGCAGAAGGTTCTGGAAATCTCAGGTTGGGTGCTGGAGTGTAGGAGAGGCTGCAGGTATCAGCTGGCAGATAATTGCCCAAGGGCAGGATTCTGGGTGGCGTATTTTTTTTTTTTTAAAGATTTATTTATTTATTCATACAGAACTGGGGTATAGGCCAGAGGCTCAGGGGCGGTGAGAGGCTTCACCAGAGACAAAGTGGGGAGCAGAACAGGCAGATCGATGAAGTACACTGCTGAGGGAAGCAGCGGGCGGGTCAGGAGAGGTCTGGCTCGCCATGTGGTCACCTCCGGGGCAGGCGGCAGGCGGGAATCGAACTCATGCGGAAGTGGCTTCAGATTCTCAGTGCTGTGCTTTAACCCGCTGCGCCACCAGGGAGGGCCAGGGTGGCGTATTTTTAATTATGCTTCTGATTCTCTTTCCTGATCCCCCAGAATCTGGGATGTGACAGATTAAACAGGTGGCTGGGAAGCCTGAACCTCCTGTGGAAAGATGGTTCCCTTCTGTGTGCCTTAGTTTTCTACTCTGTAAGATGGCCATAATGTGCCTTCACTGGCTCATCCTGAGGATGAGGAGGAAGCAGACGCTTCAGTCTGGAGCCTGGTGCCAGACACCAGCAGATGCTCCCTTGGTGGTAGTAGTTGGAGATTTTTACTGTGGAATTTACCCTTTAAAAAGGTTTCCAGCGTTGACTGTATTTAGAATGTTGAATTCGTATTGCAAGAAAGTTTTGGTAATTGAGGAGGGGGCATAGCGGAGCATTTGAGGTGACTGGGTGGGAATAGCAAAGAATGCAGTATTAAAATAGCATCTGGTTCATTTGGTATAAAAAAGGCAGTGGGCGCAAAGACTCCTGGATGTTGTCCTTTTAGCCCCTCTGTGGCAGTGATTGGTGCTTCCTATATCCAGCAAGCGTCTGCTCGGTGCCAGGCACACACAGCACCAACTGAGGTCAGGTTCAGGGGAGACTACGATGCAGACCCTAGTCCCAGAGGCATGTGCCCCTGGCAGACGAGACAAACACACCAGCAAGCAGGTTCAGTGTGGGTCATGTGACGTCGTGGCGTGCAGGGGATCGTCTCCCAGTCCTCTGCATTCTTCTCGGGCTGGTCGAGCAATTGAAACATTATCAGGCAGTGTGGCAGAATGATGGAAAATAATTAACCATTGGAATTCGTCCTTTTGGTTGTATGTGGGGCTCTCCATGGTTAGGAGTCGTCCATTCCAGTTGGGCAGAGCAGGGTTTAAATCCTGAACTGAGGTTTGGGTAGGGGTCTGGCTGCCCCAAGGAGGGGAGGCAGAGGGGTGACCTCATGTTTCCAAACAAAGATGGGTTTCTCAGGACATTTCTCCAGATAGTTCTACACCTGAATAATGCCCCGCCCCCCACCCCGCCATCTTCATTCTGCAGACAAGACGTGGCTTTCACGGACTCTTCTATTAGGGAAAGGGCGAGAGCTTTTTCACCTCCTGGGCCTTGAAGTTATCTGGGTGTTGGAGTAGGGGCCCCTGAGGGGGCCAGCTCTGACAATTTTGGGGTGGGCTAGACTGGGCAAGGCACCTTCAGTAACAATAGGGATGGGAGGGAGGGGCTGTGAGGCCCAGAAACAGCCCTACCTGATCCAAGTCTCGTGAGGCAGCATTTGATTCTTGCATCTTAATGAGCAGAAACTTAAGAGCAGAAAGACATTCACCTGGGCAAGCAGGGGCACATCCAGAAACGCAGCAGTTGCCCAGCTTCCTCTCCAGGTGCAGGGAGGGGGCTGTGTTTACTGAGCAGAGACCTGTGCTTCATTTCCACCTCGTTACCGGGGGAGGCCGCTAGGGTTCTCGTTTTTATAAAATGTCAACAGACTGGAGCCTCTGAGTTCTGTGCCAATCCAGGTTCAGAGCTGGGACCTCAGAAATCGCCCTCATCTAAGAGCTGCACAGCACCGAGAAGCCCTGTAGCTTTGCCCTGCCTGGTCCTCGTCCCCTGCCTTGTCCGGCTCCCAGGTAACAGGCAGGGACCTGCCCTGCATCTGCTTTATGGGGTAGGTGGAAAGCAAGCATTTGCTGGGGGAGAGGAATCTGTTTTACTGGCCTGTGCCAGGTGGAAGCTAGCAGGGCAGGAAGCAGCCCCCTGCTGCCCAGTGCCTCCCCACCCACCTCTTCCCTGACCCCCTCACTCCCTGAACACTGAATCTCACCATTTTCGCTTCCATCCAGTGGAGATGTGAACTTCGTAGTCTCTGGGAACATAAGGACTCTACTGTTCGGGATGTTTGATTTAATTTCTTGCAAAATGTTTTGAAATTCAAAGAGCTGACTAGACAGGCCATGAGAGCTGACTTTCGAGGTGCATGGTGGAGGGGGTGCCGGAAGGCACCCTGGCAGCATCTGGCCCGCCAGTGAACCGGGGTGTATGGTGCCGACTCTCCACCTCCCAGGGGCAGGCTGGCCCCTGCCTGTCAGGCGGTCACTTACAGGTGTGCCATCCCAGTGTGGGTGGAGTTCTGGGTGATGACACAGGTCACCGAGTCGACCTTGTTTCTAGAAGCACTTTGGGTCAGGAGATCTGATCCTTGAGAACAGGAAAGCCAGACCTGCGTTCCTGCCTGGCCCAGTATGTTCTGAGAGGCAGAGACTGGCACCCGCGGAGGAGGATGTGAAAGTCACTGTTGATTGAGGTGCTTTGGGTTGGTGTCAGTTTTCTGCCCTGGCCTGTGAAACGCCCTAAGCAAATGGGCTTCCCGGAATCCTGCGATGTTTCCTTTCCCACCCCTCTGCTCAGGATTTTATTTTTGGAATTTGCTGTGGAATGAGTGTCAGTGTGATTTGCTCGGTGAAGGGAAACTTGAGGAAGACCTGCGTTTAGCCAGCTTTGCTTTTCCAACCCTCTTTTTAGGGGGCAAATTTAAAGTGAAGAAATGCAGGTTTCATGTAGGGTGGCCCTTATATGTTTGGGACCCCAAAGGGCAATTATGGAATTTCTAGAATCCACAGTTAAAATATTATTGGATATTTTCTTGCTAAATTATCCTAGGGGGAGGTCTCTTTCATTCTGTATGACCTCGTTCAGTTTGTATGTTGCCTGGATGTAGACTGGATCATTTGTTTGTGATTGAAATGATGATGCCCTTGTTGGACATCACAGTTAAAAGTGGGTATCCCGTGGTGCAAGGAGTCTCAGCACAATGAAACTATCAGGCAGTCACTGCAGCACAAGTTTGATCCCCAGGCAGGGAGCTGATCCATAAAGCACAGCAGACCTCTCCTGCCTCACCCACTGCTCCCCTCAGCAGTGTATTTCAGTAGATCCCCTGTCCTGCTCCCCACTCTGTCTCTGGTGAATCCTTTCACCCCCTGCATCTCTGGCCTTCACCCCAGCTCTTGTATGCATAAATAAATAAAACAAATCTATAAAAAAATAAATAAAATTTAAAAGCAACCTCAGTGGAATCCAAGTGATGGCCTGTAGTTTCTTATGGAATCCAAGTGATGGCCTGTAGTTTCTTACTCAAAACTATGTCTTGCCCCCCTTACAGGATAAGTCATCAGACTCCATGGGACTGAATTTTAGCCAAACTATGAGCATTATTAGGCAAGAAGAAATGTAAAACACTTAGCTTCCTTCTCCTCACATTGCTGTTTATAGGTATCTGAGATCTATAGGCTTGATGACTTTGCTGGAAGCTTTCACTGAGAGACACAGGAAATAAAATCTCTACCCTGAGAAAGTACTGTGTCGAAGGTCACATGGATAGCCAGGGCCCAGGCCAGAGTAGGACCCAGGTCTCCTACTCTGGATGAATGCACCTTGCCAGAACTCATGAGGACCCAGGGCACCCTGGGGTGCGTGCCTGAAGGTGTCAGGACGTCTTTCAAAATCAGAGTCCGTGGCGTCCAGTCTTCCCAACTTTGGGGGACTTAGATCTTTTCCAGGTTACTGTAGTTATTAGGGTGAAGTTGGGCCTTCTGGAAAAGGCTGATATTTGTCATTTTCTTGGAGGGTGTCACGTTGGGACTTCACAGAGCTAATTGCTGATGTATTTTTTATCTTGCCTGACCCTGCAGTTTTATCAACATGCCCTCGTTGCTGTTTCTGGAAGTCATTTTCCTGTTTTCTGGAGGTAAGATTTTGATGGGGGGGGGTGGTGACAGGAACAAGGTGATGAGGCTTGTGGGTTACTGCACATCTGTAAAGCGTAATTCTAAGGGAGCCACCTGCCAAGTGTAAGACCTGTCATCTTGTGCTGGAGCCGGTGCGGTAGCCTCCTGCGAGGTCTTCCTGGGGTCCCCTGCTCCCCTCCACAGAGTAGCCATATCAGAAAGCAAATCTGCTCATGTGGGGAAAAAACTATCCTTACCCTGCCTGAAGGCTTGAAGGGCTGTTCCGATGCGTCACCTGGTGCGAGGAGGGCTCTCCTGAAACCTGATGCTGCCTTAGTAGCTGGGCACAGGGCAAAGGGGCAGCTGGCTCCCCTCACTCCACCAGCGGCAGCCGGCTGGTTGCTACTGGCCCCTTTAGAAAGAGCTGTGTTTTCTGCTCTTTGAGAATTCTGGTCTGACGGCTCTTCAACTCCCTGGCCCTTTGCCAGTGATTCCTCAACCAGGAAGCCTTTGTGTCCACCTGCTGTGTGCAGGGGCTGGGCCTGGCTCCTCAGAGGACAGGTGGGAGTGTTCTGTGGGGAAGTCAGGCCCTGGCAGCAGCACTGAGTTAAGGGAGGGGCTGGAGCAGGCCCTCGAGCTGGCAACTTGGAGCAGTTTCCTTTCTGAATGCCAACTCCAATTAGCATGATCACTCGGGGAGACGCATCAGACGCATCAGAACTGCAGCCTCTTTCTGTGGATTTTTTCAGTCTTTCTCTTCAAAAATCCCTAAATTTGACTACAAACATACTGATAAAGTGGGGTAATTGGGCGTTTCTTTATGCTCTCCATCTGCTGGCTTTCCCTTCCCACCTGCGTGTTCTGGTGTCACTGTGGAGACTAAGCCTTCTTCCTCTGCTGTCTTGTTGACTGCTTCTGGTGTTTCCTCTCCTAGTGCTCTCAGTCCTCCCTCTTCAGGAAGTCCATGTAAGCAGGGAGACCGTTGGGAAGATCTCAGCTGCCAGCAAAGGTAAGCTCATGCTTCAGTCAATCTCCAGCCCTCCACTCGAGCCTCTTTGTGATGAACTCAGGACAGCAGCTCCTCCATACAGTGTTGACTTGACACCCATTTCCCCTTCACACTGTAGTCAGAGTTGTTTTTCCCCAAACAGGGGCCTGACAAAGTCCCGCTCCTGCGGAAGTCTCTGCTGCTGAATTTCTTGACTTGCGCTTGGGGGTTTTCTGCCGTGACCATGGCCCACCCAGGGAGCCCTGTCTGCCACCACGGCCCCTCCTCTGCCACCAGCAGGTGCTCGTGCTGTCCACAGGGCCTCGAGTGCCCCTTCCCTTTCTCTCCGGCAGAATCCCCCTCAGCCACTGCCTTCTGGGGGCGCCATCTTGCTGGCGCGCACCTGCCCTCGCCACCTTGGATCTTCGTGGTGAGGTGTGAGGCTCCGGAGCCAGACAGCCCTGGTCTGGTTCCTGCAACCGGCTCTGATACTTTAAAGTCACTGAATTCCCCAGCCCTGCTTTCCTCATTTCTGAGTAGAGGTAAAAACCCTAAACCTAGCTGGGGCTCATGGTAGGGAGGCGGGTGTAGGGAGCTGATGCTGACAGGTATGGCGTTCCTCTGTGAGGTGATGGGAGATGCTCTAGAGTTGACTGTATCTGAGACTCTTCCCAAAACCACAAATTGTGTGTCATGTGGGTGGATTGTATGCTGTGGGAGTGATACCACAATAAAACTGTTGTGAAGAAAACATAGTGATTATGGGAATTAAAATGAGTAAATAAAACAAGCGCTTCACGTCCACTTGTTACCTGCCTGTGGGAAGTGCTGGCTGCTGTCACTTGAGCTCTTGGGTGATGCAGCCCCGGGGCCAGCGTGCCGGCTGCCTCCTGCACTAGACTGAAGCCCCAGGCTCCTCTGTGTCCTTTCTGGCCCAGCAGCAGCTCTCTGAGGCTCAGTGTTGTTGAACTGGAGTCTCCCTTTGGGAAGGGGGGGTCTGTGCCAACGATGCCCACGGGACATGTGCTCCCTGCCCTGGACGGCGGAGCCTTCCCAGTGTTGCCGCCCGCCCTGTGCTAAGAGGGGCAGCAGCTTGACCCGCGCCCAGGTGATCTCTGTCTCCCCTCTGCTTCGGGAGGGCCGTCCCTTGGGACCAGACTGTTGGAGAAGCCGGTTGTCACCCATTCTGTCCTCTCTCCCTAGTGATGTGGTGCTCGGCGGCTCTGGATGTCCTGTTTCTGCTGGACAGCTCTCACAGCATTGGGAAAGGCAGCTTTGAAAGGTCCAAGCACTTCGCCATCACCATCTGCGATGCTCTGGACATCAGCCCCGGCAGGGTGAGTGCAAGCCCTGTGGTCTCTGGGGGCTGCCTCTGGTTGTGTGAGCAGAAATCCCACCTTAAGCATAAGGGGACCTGTGGGCTTGTGGGATTGGAAGGCAGAGGGGTGGTTGACTGCAGGCATGGTGAAGTACAACTCACAGTCCTCTTTTTCTCCTCTCCCATTTTGATGTCCTTACTTGGCTTCCTCCCCAGTCAGCTTTTCCTCACATAGCGAAGTTGCCCTGTGGTGTCTTTAAGCGAGTGACCTCAGTAAAAAGCAGGCAGACTTGTTTCCCTGACGGAAGTCTCAGGGAGGGCTCTGGTCAGCCAGGCATAGGTCACCAGACAACCCCTTGGTCAGTCACCAAGGGAAGAAAGAGGTTTTCCAGTCACACCTGAGTCAAGTGCTCTTTACTTTTTGGAGTGGGGATGAACACACTCCAAAGAGAGTTTATGACTCTAGAACAGTAGAAAGGGAAAGTGGGGAAGAGACAAAACTGCAACTGCTCTGGAGTCTTCGTGCAGAGCTCAGCTCCTGTTCTCTCTGTTCACTTGCAAGGGCCTGTTCTTGCCGGAGTAAAGCCACCTGTATCCTCATCATGCACTTCCTGACTCCAGCTAGCAGGTCTTAAATACCAGCAGATGTGCTGGCTGTGGTTCTTCCTGCTCAAAGGGACATTTTGGAACTACTCAATAAAAGAACAGGCAGTAAGCACAGACAGTTCTCAGAAAACAAAACACAAATGGGCCTAAGATATCTAAACAGGTCCCCAGCCACCTCACCCAGGGGGGTAGCAAATCTCTCATGGATGAGCCATTTTCCAGTTACCAAATCAGCAGAATGTGCCCCACTGGCAAGTCTATAGGAAACAGGTGTTCCCTCTCTTGCATCCAGACTCGCTAGGGGCCTCCGAGGCAGTCCAGCAGAAACCGTCAACAAAGGGCTTGGACCCTTTTACCCAGGCATCTATCCTGCAGATACTCCCACTGGTGCAAAATAACACACATTCACAGTTAATCCATCGCAGTGTTGTTTTTACTTAAAAAAGACTCAGGGCCCTCCCTGGTGGCTCAGTGGGTTAAAGCACAGCACTGAGAAGCTAAAGCCACTTCCGCATGAGTTCGATTCCCACCTGCCCCGGAGGTGACCCACATGGCCCAACAGACCTCTCCTGACCCGCCCACTGCTCCCCTCAGCAGTGTACTTCATCAGTCTGCCTGTTCTGCTCCCCACTCTGTCTCTGGTGAAGCCTCTCACCACCCCTGAGCCTCTGCCCTGTATCCCAGTTTTGTATGCACAAATAAATAAATCTTAAAAAAAAAAAAAAAAAAGACTTCAGGCAACTCAAATGCCATCCCAGGGCACAGGTAAATCCAGTATCCAGTGCCTCCAGGTGCTGAGCGCCCCCCAAGTGAACAAGGGAACTGTATATGCAAAGACACCCAGACAAGCTGAATGTAAAAGGTAAGTTGTCAATGATATGTCGCTTTTTCTGAACAACGGGGAAATGAGTCTGTATTTGTCTTTTTTTTTTTTTAAAGATGTATTTATTTATGCATACAGAGCTGGGGTGTAAGCCAGAGGAGCAGGGGCGTTGAGGGGATTCACGAGAGACAAAGTGGGGAGCAGAGCAGGCCAACTGACCAATTACATTGCTGAGGAGAGCAGCGGGTGGGTCAGGAGAGGTCTGCCCTGCCATGTGGTCACCCCCGGGGTGGGGATCAAAGTCATGCTAAAGTGGCTTTAGCTTCTTAGTGCAGTGCTTTAACCCACTGCGCCTCTGGAGAGGGCCTGTATTTGTCTTTTATATGCAAGAAGAAACTCCAAAGGCTGGGAATGGGGGTTTCTCATCCAGGGAGATGGTAGGAAGTGGGTAGAGGGGGACACTCCTTAGAGCAGACTTTTATACTGTCTGCGTGAACCTATTCATTAATCAAAATGTTTAGGGTGTTTTGGTCTGGAAAGCCATCATTATTTGAATTAGAGACTTCTGGCCTACTGATTAAGGAAGGAAGTGGTTTTCTAAAATGGCATCTCTGGGTTAATCCTAAGAAAATCTCTAAGATTTAAGGGCAAAGTGGTTTTTTTATTTTTATTTTTTTTTTTTTATTCATACAGAACTGGGGTACAGGCCAGAGGTGCAGGGGTGGCGAGACTACTTACCAGAGACAGAGTGCTCTAAGATTTAAGGGCAAAGTGGTTTTTTTATTTTTATTTTTTTTTTAGATCGGAATACAGAACTGGGGTACAGGCCAGAGATGCGGAGGGGGAGAGGCTTCACCAGAGACAGAGTGGGGAGCAGAACAGGCAGATGGACGAAGTACACTGCTGAGGGGAGCAGTGGGCGGGTCAGGAGAGGTCTGCCGCGCCATGTGGATCTCCTCCAGGGCAGGCGGGGATCGAACTCATGCAGAAGTGACTTAAGCTTCTTAGTGCTGTGCTTTAACCCGCTGCGCCACCAAGGAGGGCCCCTGGGGCAAAGTGGTTTTTAAGATAGGCCAGATTTTCTCCAGAATGTCTTGTCATTTTGGACAAGTGGGCACATTGCCTTGGACCTCAGGCGGCCTTGCACAGCTGTGTGAAGACACCGCGGCCTTAACATTCCACCCGATCGCGAGCATCCCGAAAGTTCTGACCGTGATGTCAACCCATGGCAGCCGGCACTGGGGAGTGCTCATTCCACCCCCTTCCACCAGGACTCACTTTTAACTGGAAGTGAATCCCTGTGAAGTTTCACTAGTTATTCATGGAGGAGGAGCCAGAAAGGGCAACGCTGTTGACCGCGGCACTAACACGGGGACCCTGAAATGGGCCAGCACGGCAAGCTGGGAGAGAAGAGCTCTAAGAATTATTCGTGAATGTTCCACAGACAAGGTCACAGGCTCAGAGGCTGAGTAAGTGCCACGGTTCACACAGTAATCTCAGGAGAGAGCTGAGGTGGAGAGCTGGGGCTCTTGACTGTGCCGAGGGCTTGTCCATTAGGTCATTTGTCCCTCTCAGTGGCCAGCTCCGTGCTCAGCATCAGAGGCAGTGATGATGCTCAGTTGTCAGCTCTCACACCCTGCTATAACATAGCAGTGGACAACCGGCATAGGGACTGAGGCAGGCGAGGGCCAGGGGCAGCACTAGTGGACTTCAGCATCCTCGAAGGCAGAATTAGAAAATCCTGACAAGACACTGCCTGGCTGGTGCTTTGAGGGGCAGCTGTCGACACCCACTGGCACCCAGAGTTCAGGGAATTTAATCTCAGTGTTGTTGCACGGTGAGGGAGAATGGGGCATTGAGTGCTAGAGGCTGTTTTTTAGCTTAGATATTGACAAACCAGACAGTGCCCAGCTCAGGTTGCCAGGCCCGGCCTGGAAGCTTCCACATACTGGAAGCTGGTGAGGGTTTTCACGTGAGAGGACTCAGAGTTGCCGCTTTATCCATGGGGCAGATCTGAGTGTTGGGAGCGCCACGTTTGGGCCTGGCTTGAGAAAAGCAAGGCGTGTTGCATGGAGGAATGGGGTGTCTGTTCCAGGGAGCACAGAGCATCTCCCAAAGTTCTCAGACCTTCAGGGAATGCTGTGGAAGGGGTTTTGCTTTGAGGGCTATTTCCAGCGCTTCAGCAGATTTGTGGCATCAGGAGTGACGACTTGGCCACTGCATTCTGGTGTTTTCTTGCTTCTATGCACAAAGGGCTTGACTGCACCTTGTTTTATTTTTTTTTTTTGGAAAACTCCTATAACTTTAGTTTCTAGAGAGGAAATTTTCACGTCGCTATCAATTAAGGCTGTTTATGGATGCCGTGCTTGAGGTGACTTTGAAGGTGTGTGAAGTCTCTTAACACTTAAAAGCTGGGAGCGGGGAGCCCTGGGCCCAGCCAGAGCTGAGAGAACTCGGCAAGCTGGCTTCTGAGCACATGGTGAAGTGCAGATAAAAGGGGCTGTTTTGCTCCCGAACCCCCAATTAGATTAAATGCCTTAACAAGCTGTTTCCATTTTGTTTTGAAGTCGTATCCTTTCTGTTCAGCCCAAGTAAGTACATCCAACCGTTGGTCTCAAAGAATTTTTTCTTTCCCCAAAGTAATTTCTTTCCATGTTTAAAAAAAAAAAAAAAGCAGTAAAAAGTCCTCACACCCCACCCAGTGCGGCTACCAGCTCTCTTGAGTGTCCTTCCAGACTTGCTTCCCGAAAATACAAGCAGTTTGATTAATTCCACTCTCTTCCTCCTCATACAATGCTACACATGATGTTCTCGTTGTCTTTTTCGCTTCACATCACCTTGTAGGTCTTTCCACAGCAGTAGATACTACATAGATATTTTAAAATTACATATGGCATACATTTATTTTTCACAACTGGTTAATATTCCTGCATACGGATTTACCAAGGTTTAATCAGCCAGCTTCTGTGGAAGCAGGAGCGTGGGCCAGAAGTGGCGTGTGGTCGGGAGGCCAGGGCAGCCCTACATGCTGGCTCCATTGTGCCTGGGCGCACGGCGCATTCAAAAAAGTGGTGTCCAGACTCCCCAGGCAGGGACTGGAGTGTTAATAAGGGAGGGCTGGGTCATAGCATGTTCTCCTTGGTGCTGACTCACTGTCAGGTGGGTGCATTGGCAGGAGCCGCTGTGGTCTAAAAGGACATCCACCTGCAGAGAATGCTTCCTGGCTCTTGGAGTCTTTGACCTTTTCACCTGTCTGCTCGCTGGTTACAGGACCTGTGGTCAGCTTCGTAATACCCACCGCCACCCCGTTAGGCCGCAGTGTAGTGGCGCCCTGATAGACGGAAGCACAAGGTCCAGTGGCTGGCTCCCTCTCTCGGGAGGCCCAGGCCGCGTGTGGAGCCTCTACACTTTCACTTCCCCAGCAGCTGGGTGGGCGTCCATAGTGCCTCTGTAGATCTGGCGAAGTAAAGTGTGAGCTTGCTTAAAACTGCCTGCACCTGGCCCTCCCTGGTGGCGCAGCGGGTTAAAGCACAGCACTGAGAAGCTAAAGCCGCTTCTGCATGAGTCCGATCCCTGCCTGCCCCGGAGGCGACCACATGGCGAGGCAGACCTCTCCTGACCCACCCGCTGCTCCCCTCAGCAGTGTGCTTCCTCGATCTGCCTGTTCTGCTCCCCACTCTGACTCTGGTGAAGCCTCTCACTGCCCCTGAGCCTCTGGCCTGTACCCCAGTTCTGTATGTACAAATAAATAAATCTTTAAAAGAAACTGCCTGCACCTGATAGGCATTTGGCAAAGACAAGCAGAGACCCTGCCCGGAGAATGCCCTGGCCAGCTGGCGGGGCTGCCAGAATGCAAGCCAAGAAGGTGAGCTTGGCCGCTGCTCGAGAGGGGCACAGGTTGGCCTGACCTCCCAGGCTCCCCTGGCCTCTGGAGCCTTCTTTTGGGAGGCTCCGGCTCTGGCCCTTGTTAAGGGGACAGGAGCAGGGTTGTTAACCTTCCTTGTGACCGGGCCACACTCAGCCCCGGGGCCTCTCTCCTATGCAGGTCAGAGTGGGCGCCTTGCAATTCAGTTCCACCCCCCGGCTGGAGTTTGCCCTGGATTCATCTACAACCCAACGTGAAGTGAAGACAAAAATCAGGAGGATGGTTTTCAAGTACGTGTAGCAGAGACGGCCATGCTAGGATCAGCCTGTTTTAAAATCGTTCCCTGGAAGCAGGTCATTGGCCTGGTGAGGCTGCGACTGCCCCAGCACCCACTGTGGCAGTGGATGGTGACGCTCCCTTCTCCAGCTGCCCCTTGTTAGTGCATGGTCAGGTCTTGGGGTGGGGGCTGTAAGTGCGAGGTAATGTCTGGGGTGCGGTGCAAATACAGGTTTCACCGAAAGACTTGCTGTCACTATGTGCAGCTCTCAGTTACCTGGGGCCGTAGCTGCTGAAGGTCAGGCCAGGTTGAAACGTGGGGTGGTGGGAAGAAATGGGGGTCCTTCCCCTAGTTCTGTTCCTGGTGATCTGTGGCTGGGACCATTTACTACACTTCGTAAGGTTTCTTCTCTGTGGTCTGAAAAGGTAAGTGCCCCTTTTTTGAGAATGCTTTTCTGTTTTTTTTTTTGAAAGTGCTTTTATGTGATTAGCTGTTTATGTGCTCGTACGTGTAGACCCTAGAAAGTACGTACGTGGTGGCGTCAAAGCATTACAAATCAGAGCTGTGCAGGTACACAGAATCATAGGTACAGACATGTGTTTTGGTTTAGATATTGTATTTTTTTTGAAGATTTATTTACTTATGCATACAAGAACTGGAGTCGAGTGTTTGGTTTTTTTAAAGATTTATTGTGTATACAGAACTGGGATACAGGCCAGAGGTGCAGGGGGTGAGAGGATTCACCAGAGACAGAGTGGGGAGCAGAACAGGCAGATTGACTGAAATACACTGCTGAGGGGAGCAGCGGGTGACAAAGGAGAGGTCTGCTGCGTCCTGTGGGTCACTCCCTGGCCGGGCATCAAACTCATGCTGCAGTGGCTGCGGACAGCTTCATAGTGCTGCGCTTTAACCCTTTGAAGCCTTGTCATCAGGGAGGCTTAGATATTTTTGGTGTGTGTAATATCTAGAGGGATATGTTTTAAACACGCACAGAGAACACTCTTTACAAACACTTGCAGATGATTAACTTGCTGTAATTTCCAAACCCCTCCAGTCTCTGCTGCCTCGCTTCTAGTCCACTGCGGTCTCCCTGAATTGATGGTGACCACCTTCACTGTCAAAACCTCGAGCTTGGAGGTCCGTTTGGCACACTCAGGCCTCTGTAGGTCCATCAGTACTTTCAAGAAGCCAGGTCTCCCCATGGGCATAGCAGGAACTTCAGGGGCCCCAGTGACTTTCCCTCAGCTCTTTATCTCAGTTCTTTGCTCTGGGTTCCCTGGGACAGAGGGGCAAGTCAAATACAAGAAGGTACAAAGGGAATAAGCACATGAATGTGCTCTTCTCTCTCTCTCTCTCTCTCTCTCTATATATATATATCTATATATATATCTATATATATATGTATAGATATAGATATACAGGTAGATATATAGATATATCTATAGACCTATATCTATAGAGATATAGATCTATAGATATATCTGTATCTATATATATATGGACAAGCCCAAGAAGGGTGCCAAAGAGGTGGGGTGCCACACCCTCCTGGGTGCATGTGATCACACACTTTAAAAAGTTCTCTCCCCACTGCCTCCCTGCCCTGTGACTATTAGACACACTGCCTTACCAAAGCTTTATTGAGATAAAACTTAGATATCATAAAGGTCACCCATTTGACATCTACCATTTAGTGGTTTTGAATATATTTTCGGTTAGACAGCTATTACTATCATCTTTTTTTAGAACATTTTATGATTCCCCCCACCCCCGCACCAAAATCTTTTAAATAGCTATTTCTCCAAAGAAGATATATAAGTGGAAAAAGAAGATATACAAATTGCCTATAAAGACTGAAAAGATGCTCGATATGATTAGTCATTAAGGAAGTACTGATGAAAGCCTCAGTGAGATACCACTTTATACCCCTTTGAACCATTAAAATAAAAGCCACTGTTGGCAAAGGATGTTGAGGACCTGAAACTCTCATGTATTTCTGATGGGAATGTGTCATGGTCCAGCCGCTTTGCAAAGCTCTTTGGCAGTTTCTCAATATGTAAAACATATGACCCTGCATATGTAGAGACTCCCAAGAGGATTCAAACACAATTGCCATAGAAAAGATTGGTATGATAATATTTATAGCTGCACCATTTGTAGTAGCCGGAAAGGATAAACAACAAAAAATAGATGAGCCGGTAAACAGATGTGGCATAGCCGTACAATGGAATATTATTCGGCCATAAAAAGGGAATGATGTGATTCAGGCTTATACTAAGCAAAAGAAGACAGACACAAAAGGCCACATATTGGATCATTTTATTTAGATGAAATGAATAGGCAAATCTGTGGGGACAAAACAGATTATAGGCATTGCCGTTTCTGTGCAGGGGGTTGGGGGCTTAAGATGGGGACGAAGCTGTTTCGGATGGAGGCAGTGGTGGTTATATCGAAACTCTGAATATAAGACCACTGAATAAGACCACTGAATTTTGTGTGCTTTAAGAGGTGAAGTTTTATTTTTTTTAAAGATTTATTTATTATTTGTTTATGCATTCAGAACTGGGGTACAGGCCAGAGGTGCAGGGGTGGCGAGACTACTTACCAGAGACAGAGTGGGGAGCAGAACAGGCAGATTGATGAAAGACACTGCTGAGGGGAGCAGCAGGCAAGACAGGAAGATCTGCTGCACATGGGGGTCAGCTCCCTGGCCAGGATGGAACTTAGGCTGACATGGCTGTGGCTACCCTCATAGTGCTGTGCTTTAACTCGTTGTGCCACCAGGGAGGGCCCTAAAAGGTGAACTTCAATAGTTTGTGAATTATATCATTTAAAAAATATATATTTGCAGAAGAAAAATACCTGCTGGTTTACATTTAGGATCAAAAGTCAAAAAGTTTTTGGGTGCCTGTGACTCACATGACTCTGGCCTGTTCTCTCATGCAAAAAATTAAGCATTTTTAAGCGAATGGTACAGAAAGCACACAAGATATCATCTAGCATCTATTCCGGCCCTTTTTATGGAGGTGGGTCGCGGGGTTGAGCAGGAGCCAGTGACGGTCAGCACCGCAGGGTGTCAGTACTAGTCCACTAGCAAACCCCACCCCACCCAGCTGTCCCCTTCTGCCTCACCCACCTCCCTCTCCTTCCCTCCCAGCCCCTAAATAGTTAGTTGACCTGCTTCTCAGCTGTGCTGAAAATCACAGCAAAGGCTGTGAGAGCATTATTCGTGACATGAAACCCAGAGATGCATTAAGAATGAGGCAGATGAGGGCCCTCCCTGGTGGCGCAGC